AACAATCAGAAAAAAGGAGATCCTCTTTATAGTAAATATGTTCAACATTTTGAAAAAAATGTTGAGGTCCCTATTCATAATTTTTCGAATTGTTCGATTGATATTTTTTTCATCATGGACACTTTACTTGAAAGAAAACATATTATCTTAATAAAAGCCACTGTGTTTATGCCCAGAAAGTACTCATGGTGAAAGATATGACTGTCTAAAATCACTTGCCATACTGCACATGGACCTTTGCTTTACCTTATGAGTATTTTATGTAAATACAATATCTCATTAATACCTTCAGAGTTATGCTGAAAACATATGTAAATAGTATCGTGTCACTATATCGTGTCATTAAACAGTTAAACAAGAAATGGTACATTTTGGATTATGGTACTCTGGCGCCATTTTCTAGCTTTTCCTCCTAGCGTTATTGGACTTCAAACAGAAGTGAAAGTTACCCGCAAATGATATATCCATTGCATGGAGTTTATAATTTGCTTTGGTATAACGAAACATATGTTAAAGTTAAAGTTAGAGTTAAAAATGTATTGTGCGCTTTTTCTTAGTGTTTTTTTGAAAAATAACATACTCCGTCACAGCGGACAAATCTTTTGATACCAGCCTGTGTAAGGGTAAGGCGAAAATAATAAAAAAAAATTATTCTTCAACATGTATTATAATAACGTTAGTATGAATGAAATGGGCCTTAAGTGGGTATTGTGGTCTTGGTATGGGTTGTAATAATGGTTTTCCTTATGAATGGTGTACTCTCTGGTTTTTTTTCTTGCTGTATTCTGTAAAAAGTTTTGGTACTTTACCTTTAGCACTAGTATGTACATATGCATATTGTTGGTAAAATATGAAGACTTAAAACTTCGTTATTGTTACACAATTCTATACCATCGTTGATAATAAATAATTACATATCAAGTTTTAAACTTATTTTCCAAATAGGTCTAAAACTGTGCGTTCATGTAAGAGATGGTAGGAAAACAAAGACTGCTACTTTACCATTATAATTGTAAATTACTTTACTAGTGTACGGCATAACCGAGTCCCCGCGAGCGCAGAGAAAAGCTTCGAGTGCCACTTATGATGTCTGTCCATTTGTTGAGCTTGCTTAAGTTCATTTTTCAAAATTTTACTCTTAGTACTATGTATAATTATTAACAGCTTTAGATATATTTTGATAGCGTGAGCAAAATTGATGTTGAATGGAAGACAATTTTTCAAAAAGATGGCTTCCCTGATTTTCATCCAAACTTCAACAGAACGAATTTCAAGTTAGGGATTATTTCATCATCAGGACGACTCTACCTAGACAGGGGTAAGTTGACCAGGTGTAAAAGGGTCGGAGGTCCTATCAAATTATGGTCCTACTCTCCATTGATTTATATTGTGACCTAAAGACAACTCTTTTCTTTATTATCTTATACACATTTAGGGCCAGCAGGGGCCGTTAAGAAAGGGGACCATAATCCCCAGGGGATTTCTTTCACACCGGCTTACTTATACTAGCATTTATAGAGTGGCTGAAAAATATTTGTTCCCGATATATGTCATATATTATGTCTGATGTTATTAAACTGACATCAACTTTGAAACACTGTGTGACAAAGCAGAAAAAATTACCAAAACGTTATTTATCCTTAATTAGAAAATTGGACCATATTGTTGAACGTGAAAAATGTGAAGCATGTGTTAAATTCTGAATGGTCATGTATTAAGTAAATTGCACTTGTGACAATCAGCAGTCGTTAGATGGTTAACAAATTAGGATAGATATGGTAATTGAGAAATCTTGATTATTTGAGGTCTGTCTTTGAAGATTTCCAAACATTCACTCACATTTTCACAATATACTAATACGTTTGATTCGAATTGTTCAAAGCATCTTAGAAAATAGAGTAATTTGACATAATTCTTGCTGTGTTTATATTTCACATATGATTGAGGATAAAGAAGATGAGAAATGAAATCCATACCATGTATAGTTGAGAAGTAAATAAATCTACTTTTTGGGTCTCATTTTAATTTGTCTTTTGATGATAGTATATTCCTAAAAAAATAACTAAATTCTTCCTTGACTGATTTTTCTTTCAATCATAGATGGAGCGACACATCCGTCATATGTTTCTATGCCGTGTGAAGACAGGGACCCTGGTTCACCAAACCATGGTATTGTATCATGTTCCTCTAGAAAAAACTTACCTTGGGGAAAATTCAAGCACAATGACAGGTAACTTTATTTGTTATTTTTGTCACGTGTAGGACATGGATCGATTAGACTTTGAGGAATATAACTGTGATATAATAATCTCAGATAATATTTAATCATTGAGAACGTCCGTCCGTCTCTCCGTCCGTCCGGGAAATAACTCGAATACTGTTGGCCCGATAGTGTTTATATTTTATACGTACTGTACATCTATATGCTCCATGTGAATACAAGTTCTGCACGGAAGTCAATATTCAAAATGGCCACTGGTTTCAAAATGGCGGCCATTTTAGTGTCGATTCAACGGTATTTTAGGTACAGCATAATGTATTGACGTGGTAAATTGATGTTTTAAATGGAAACATGTATATGGGATATTGATGAAGTTGAAAACATAATTACCGAGACAACGCATGGCGTCTATCTTGAAAAATGGTGACGATATACAATAAACTTAGTTTTTGCTGTAACTGGAAAAGTAGTGAAGTGATTTTGTTTATATTTGATATGCGAATATTTGTTAACAAGGTACACTTTCTATGACCCTTTGCGTAGTAGACGGCCATTCTAAAAATTTTATTTGTGTTATACGTTTTTTACTCGGAAAGTAATGGAGCGACTTCATTGAAATTTAATATGTGACTTCTCATAAGCATATTACCTTTTCTTATGACACTATGGCTGGCTAGTACGCGGTCATTTTGAAAATGGTAGCCATTCTTATGTGACTTATTTTACATTTAATAATACTTATTAATATAAGATATATTTTTATAATACGCTAAATATGTTAATTATATTGTTTGACATGATAACTTATGTAACAGCTTTACAATGCCTGTCTTAACCAGGGTACGATTCACAGCTTCTGCAACAAATGGCGGGTTCCTTGAGTTTCATAATCCTGAGCGTATGATGGATGAGACAGAATTTTACAGAGGGAACTCAAGGAGCAACGATGCTCTGTTTATATTTGACACTGTCAATCCTTATCATTGTTCAATTACATCATCTTGTAACCATGCCTTGATGGAATTTGGCAAGGATATAAGAAAGGTGAATATTAACAGGAACTTTTTGATGAGAAAATATAGGATTTATTACTTCATGTAAGAATAAGAGTGCATTTCTTTAAACAAGTTCGTATGTGTTAAAGATATTTAGAATCATAGTAAACGAGTTGATATTTTTTGAATTTTTTTTAACTAAGAGTAAACTAAAGGTTGAGTTGACAAAGGCCATGGGATGACTTGTATAACTTTTGGGATTAGGAATTCAGGATGACCGTTACACATACAAATAAACGCAGTGAAATACTCGGAGCCAATGAACTGAGACTTTTAGTTCAATCATTTTTACTAAATTGATAACACAGGAGTTCTCTTCAAATATTCATTTTAATTTTGTCATGTAGGTTGGTGTAAACATAAGCTGGGAAGGATGGCGAGACGATCTTTCTGGAATAAGGGAATATGACATTGATATTTATTTGACCAAACAAAACCACAGCAGTCTCAGAGAAAGCCATCCAGCTAAGAAAACGTTTCAGAAGTGGAAATTGGGAGATCCTAATCCAAGTTTTACACCCGAAATAGCAGGAACGTACACGATTGTACTCACAGCAGTAGACGATACAGGTCATAGTGGATCTAGTGGTAATGTACAGACAGCTAGACGACTGTTCATTTATGACAACAACTCTGTTGTAGATATAGTCCAACATAAACCAATTCAACCTATATCTGCATCTCTGAATTTTACATCAGGTAATTCTACATCAAATAAAATGTGCCACTGGCAGCATAACTTACAGGATGAAAGTGGAAAAGGGGAGAGTGTAGTGTTTGAGTGGACTGATAGGTTTATAAATCGTTATCACCATATGAATAAGATTCTCGGAGCAGTAGATGATTATCAGGAAAGGGTGATTCTGCCAGAATACGATGACTTTGATGAAGGCGAGAGAACACGCTCGGCAATTCCAAACGCCAATGCAATAATCCGATTTAACTATACTTTCCTCAAAGACCACAGTGGAGGAAGAACCATAACGATAATGCCCGAATATGACTGGAATCTTACAGACAATGTATTAGATCAAAGCCAACGGTTAGATATTCCAAGAGACGATGGTGACACAGTACGATTCTGGGTAAGAGCCATAGATGTGATGGGGACTTATGTTCACGATAGCGTTTGTGTTCATTTTGACTCATCACCACCGGTCATAGAGAACATTTGGCTCTCTAATAATGGCAGAGAACAACTTGCAGTCCACAATACGAGAGATCTTTATGAGATGCGGTAAGTAGCCTATGTCAAGTTTGTTATTTCACTAAGCATAGGATAGAGGTGGATAAAATATGTCATGTGATGACGCGTTAAATTGTTGAATTTACAAATTTTTCATCAACTTTGCTTATTATAGGTAAATTAAATGTATGAAATATAGTCATGATCTCGTGGTTTAGATTTTTTGATCCCCACTATCTTGTCACTCTCATTGCTTGAGCATGCTAGAAATGTAATAAAGGAAATAGGTGTTTTAAGTCACACAATTCATTGCCATGGTACCACATAGTGTCCAAATCTGTTGAATCTATAACAGTTCTGGGTGGTGACATATAAATACCATGCTAGATTTTTATGCTGTAATTGCATCCATTCTTACTTTACTATCCAATATCTCCATTGACACCTGCTTCCTAATTTTCCCCTTCACATGTTATTAACTTAAGGAAATCTACATTAATGCGTTTCGCACACTTAGAGCTCTTGTAAATACATTTTAGATTCCATTTCAAAGCATTTGATATACACAGCGGACTGTACAATGTCCATTGGAAACTATTTGATAGTTATACCGATACTGAAGAGATACTAGGAGAAGGACATACACATGTAATAAAGATAGATAACGAAACACAGGATGCATCAAGTTATTGTGTACCAGCAGGACAATGCTATGGAATACAATATGATATCAAACCAGATCGTACAGACTTTCCTAAGCCTAGAGGCACACACGAACACGACTATTTCCTGATAATAACGGTCACCAACATTGCCCGACTAGTCACAACTCATACTCTAAAAGTGAGTTTAACTAATTATCATTACTTGATACATGTACTGTTCTACGTATGAGGCTTGTATTCTGTTTAATATGTACATTTTTCCCTCTGGCACTTATGCATGCATATTGCCCCTTTTTATTCAGATAACAATTGACACATCTCCACCTCACCCTGGTGTTGTATATGATGGACGTTCTGGTAGCTCAGAAGTTGATTACCAGCAGGGTTATACATTGCATGCACATTGGTCACAGTTCTTTGACAGAGAGAGTGGCATCATGTTTTACAGATATGGGTTTAGTAACAGCTGCCTTGAAGCAGATGCTTTCACTGGCATCAATGGAACATCAATGGTTAGTGTTTAGCATACAAAGTCAATCAAGAAAATCTGAGAAAATGTTGTAAAAGTAAGAAAGGATAGGTATCGATATGGTGAACTGAATTCAACAATGTTTTTCTCTTAAACAAATCATTGAAAACATTCTGTAAAAACACGGTCCTTTATGTAGTGTTGACTGATTGGCAACAATTTAATGCAAAAAGTATTTATATATATATATTTTATATAACTGTTTTTGTTAACATTTTTTGTGTTTTAGTGCAATTGTTTTTTGTACCTTTCTACCAATTCTTGAGAATGAAATAAAATGTCTTTCCGAACCTTGTTGATTTAACAAAAGTATGCAAAAACTTACTTAGGTTCGGATAGATGTTTCATTTCATTCCGAACATATGATACCAATAACAAAAGGAGTGTCAGATGTGTTTTCTAAAAACGATATAGAAAAAGTATTTATATATATTTCAAATTATAATGTTACCATCCAAAAGATGACCATTAAATTGACGATGTGTAAAATTTCCAGAAGTTCACCATATCGATACCTCTCCTTTATGACCTTTCATATCAAATGACGATTTATGGTTTGGAGAAAACGACCCAGGGGGGTTCGCTAATATTTTTCATGAAAAAATTTAAAATATTACCATCATTAAAACTAAAGTATACAAAAGAGGAGATTTAAATCTACAATAAGTAAAAATCTGAAAATATTTGGCGACATTGATAACGTCGAAATATGCAGATGAATTTGGTTTTCCAAACCGAAAATCGTCAAGTCGGTTCTCCGAAACGAAAATCGTCCTTTTTACAGAAGAGATTATATGAGTTAGAATGGATTTCATATATTCTATTCTCTTTTGATGAAAGGTGGGATTGCTATGGTTACTAGTGTTTTGGGTGTTTTAGGTGGGACAAAAGTGTATCATCTACTTCCCGAAATAAACGTATCTTTTGACAGTTAAATAACTAAGGATAAAAATGAACTAATATTCTAAATATATCAGGTAGAGAATACAACTTTAACTGAAGTGAGTGGAACCGTGTCTGGACCTGGAACATATTTTTGTACTGTGGTTGCCTTCAACGGTGCAATGGAACCATCTGAACCGGTTTGCTCGGATGGTGTCACGATAGACAATACCCCTCCAGATGTGCATTCCATCATTGTTGACCACATACACACTAGACCTGGGGTTGTAAAACATGGCAATTCTACATGGCTCATAACAAAGCATGGCTACAAGCAACGTATAAATGAAACAGATTGTAGGTAAGGTATTCTGTCAATTGAAATGTATTAATTTGTGAGAGTACAAGATATTCGTCGATCTGATTTATTGCAGTCGTTGTGGGCACGTGGACCACTATATGTACTTGTGTTTAGAAATATGCTATTAAAATTAATAATACTTACTAGGCCTACGACATAATATGCATGCATAATACTATGTTATAGAGGGATCCAGGTACCTGACATAAGTGTTTTCGCTGAAAACAAAGATTCCAAGGATATTCAAGGATGTAGTTATGAACCTTTTACAAATC